GATATATAAGTGTGTATATATACACACACACATATATATATATATATACATATACATACATATAATGTATATTTATAAGTTATTGTATATAATATATACATATATGTGTGCGCGCACACAAACACACACAGACGCGTATGTATGTCATGTAACACAAGATGTGTTAATGTAAAAAATTATAATTAAAGGATTTGAAAGATAAGGATCTTTTCAGGCTATAACAATGGATTATATATTTCGATCTATGTATAATAATGCATATTATTTTGACTTGCTAATATTTGACATCTTTACTTGTGTATTAAATACTATATATGTATATATTGTATGTATATAGGAGTAAAATGACATACACACTGCTAAAGATAAATAAAACTACTCAATGCTCACATACATATTTGCATTTGGAATATTCGAAAAAAATGATAATTGAGATTGTCAAGACTAGATATAGCGCGAATTTCATATATACACTGTAAAAAAAACTGAATGGAACTTTAGACAGTATTTGCAGCTTTTTGCAGACACATTGTCTGAATTTTCAGACAGAATGCTGCCTAAATTTTCAGACAGAATGCTGTCCGAATTTTCAGACAGAATGCTATCAGAATTTTCAAATACACTCTTCAGCATTTTCAGAAAAACGATTTTGATGATTAAGATAGATCGCCTAAAATTGTTTTCAGACACCCAAATCCAAAAATTCAGAAAAATGTCTAAATTTTCAGAAAATTTTTTACTATATATATATGTATATATAATATATATAGGGTGCTTGAGTTGTAGCATATATATTTTTTGATGAAGAGGAAACAAATTAGATGTGTAAGAATAAGAAAAATTGCGTTCCAAATAATATCTTATTAAATAACGAAAATAATATATAGCCATTTTTTAAACTTAGATTCTAAACATATGTTACAAAACATATAGCAAATAAAAATTTCATAAGATTTCATACATTTTATTAAATCTTTAATAAATATTCAAAATATCGAAGTTTAGTCGTTCATAAGTGATGGACGCAAACTTGGTTAAATATTACTAAAAAAAACTTAAGATTAAAAATCATTAGCAAATTTGAGATATTACAGAAATCGGATTTTGAAAAATGCTTTATGGATAGCTTTATGAAATGCTTTATGGATGGCTTTACAATATTTAATAATTAATTTCGAAATAATAAAGTAGAGTATATATAACTTTTCGAGTTAAAAAATTGTTATATATATATATATATATATCTGAGAGAAGAAAATATTTTTACTCTTCTGTATTTTATCAATTAAATCTACATGCTATTCATCACAGAAACACCCTATATATATTTGATTGTAAAATTTCATTAATGACTAGTATCAGTAAAAATGAACATCCGCACACCTTATTGTAAATAAATTCAGTTCACGATTAATATGAAGCATGTAATCACAGGAATGAGATACGGTTTTTGCAAGTGAAAAATATCTTGCCGACAAGAAACAAAAAATTATACAATCAAGAACATCGAACGATCTTACAATTTCTCTAACGATGCAATTGTGCACATTTAGTAATATATTATCACTCCCTATAATCGATGTATATACAAGCTGGACTGTTTTACACTTAATTTCTACGTAACGTCTCTCTCGATGCAAACATGATAAAAATAATCGCACATACTTCGAGCTAACACAACACGTTGCACGCAGAACGAGCGAACGAACACACGTGGATCGAAAATCCGAAATAAACCAGATTTATCTCGCCAAACGATTTGGCGAGGATTGAAAAAGAAATCCATCGTTCAAGCTTGAATATCGCGAGTTTTCGATCGCTCCTTACATTCTACTCGACTTTTCGCTCTATGCGTTTTTCTGTTCGAGATATGTACAAATCAGAAGTCATTATTTTTTTAATTGAAAAAGTCGATAAAGCACACAAATCTGAATATTATTTAGGCTAAAACGCATGCGGTATATTATGGTCCATTGTTTGTGCAAAAATAGGTATCCGCATTCGGTCTTTACTTTTCTGATTCATTCTATATAGGACGAGACGACGAGAGAGAGGGAGAGAGAGTGCAGCGTTTTTAAGTACAAAATATTCGAGATTCTTCTTGAGATAATCTATTTCATCAATCTCTCTCTCTCTCTTGTATCTGTCGTGATTGCGCTACAATCTGACTTGTGTTAATCTCGTTTCAACATGTGTATGCATCTGGGTGGTTTATATTCTCTGTTCAGTCTCTTAGCATATGGTTGTATAAATTTGAAACAAAAGATTCTTACTGTCAATATTTTATATAACGAAAATGATTCATTCAGGTTTCTTCTTAAAATCGGTTGCATTCGGCTATGTAATGGAATGGTTTTGTGTAATTATTTATAGTTGAAAACACACATTCTCTCTCTAAACCGGAAAACTAGAAATCTAAAAATTTTCTTTTGTAATAAACACGAGTACGTAATTAATTAATCAGATAAATTAATGTCGAGCGCACGTCATTTAATCAGCCGCTTAAATTTTATGTTCGTCGAAAAAAGACGATAATATTCTTAAGCTAATTGAAACTCAGTTATAAATTTTTTTCAGTGGTTTAACGGCGGCAATCACACACACAGAGCGATCGAATTCAGTGAGTCGATTCATGCTGAGATGAAATATTTTCCGCCCGATTAGATCGATGTGGAATCGTCTGTGTCGGTGTCATCGCCGTAAAGACCTCGTCCATCGGTCTTTGTCCAGGAGGTTGCGCTGGGCTCCACGCCGACCTCGTACCTATTCTCCTCCTGGGCGTTGCTGGACGGCACGATTCTCACGTAAGTCTCCCTCACGCCGCTCAAGGATTGCTCCATGACGCTCTTGATGCTTCTCTCCTCGCAGCTGGCGGACTTGGAGCGGACCTTCTCCTCAGGCTTCTTCGTCGCCGTCTCGATTGATTCCAGCGAACTCTTCCTGCGGCTGTTTCTGCGATTTGTTCTGGCGATCTGGTCCTTGGCGCTGGTGGAGATCCTTCGGCCTATCTTCGGGCTCTCGTTCTCCAAGTATTTGCGGATCCACTTGGGCGTCTCGCTCGAGTATGCCTGGATCTTCTTCGCGTATTTGCCAGGCGTGCTCGGCAGGATCATCGGAACCTCCGTCTCGATCACTGTCGTGATCACCTGCTCGTTCTCGTCGAAGTTGCTCTCCAGGTACTTGCGTTTCGGCGTGCCGCCCACGCTCATCTTGCCAAGTGTCGAGACACTGCCGCTTTCGTCGCTACCAGACGTCTCGTATGTGTACGAGTAGTGTCGTTGGATGTGTTTCGGTTCCTGCTGCTGTTCTTGCTGTTGATCCTGCTCCTTGGCTTCCTGCCGCTTTTCCTCGCTCGTCTCCTGATTCCGTCGATTCTCCTCCTTCTCGATCCTCTTCAGCTTCTCCAGCGCATCGTCAATCGAGTAACGCGGCGATTTTCTGCCGCCGGTAGCGAACTCGGGTAGCTTCACTGGTGATAACAGCGACTGCCGCAGGTTGCCGGCGATGCTGTGCCGCTGCCGAACAGGTGGGTCCAACAGCCGACGCAAACTCGAATTCCTGATCTCCGGTACCGACATTCTTTCTCGGACCGGAATCGGCGGCGGTTTGCCAGACGCGCGCATCGTCTTCGCGAACTCCCCGGTCTTGGGTGGCGATGGCGACGTTGACATCTTTCTGCCAGCAAACGGAAAGTCCGGCGCGAGGAATCGCCTCTCGCCGGGCGGGAAGATCGGCGAGGTGCTCGCTACGATCACGCTCTGCAGGCCTTCGCAGGTGGGACTCTTAAGTCTGTCGGACGTTATTCCGGTAAGATCCTCGGTCTTCATCTGTTGATGCTCGAAGATCGGAGAGCTCGCGATTGGTAGCAGCCGTGACTTACAGCTATCCTGGCTGTCCAGGCTAAAGCGCTGTTTTGTCAGCTGACTGTCTAGACTGAAGCGTTGCTTGGGTGTGCCGGCGATCAGTCGCAGATCGTTTTGTGTCTCCAGCTCCGGTATCGAGAACCGATCGCGATTGAACTTGACTTGCGCAGCACTGCCACCGCCCAGGTCCTTGATGTTCCGATATTTGGCGCCGATATCCAACTGGGACAGGCGGTCGCGCTGACTCGCTTGTAGAACAGGAGGCACGAATCTCTTGTGTTTGAGGGGGAAAGGCGGTGGCGATGGGGAATGCACGACGCCGATACCACCGATCTCGCGGTAACCGCTGCTGAGACATGGTTGAGATAGCCGTTGCTGCCCCCGGCCGGGATAGTAATCGCCAGTGACTAAGGTGGGCTGCGATAGTCGTTCGCGCTTGTCCTGTCGCAAGACAAATCTGCGTACGTCCGGCTGCGAGAGTCGCGACGAGCTCCTCTCCATCGTTAGACTGCCACGCGGGCTGCCGCTGCCACCCAGGGCGTGAACGTTCGGCGTCGACAGCCTCTCTTCCTCGTTGATGCTGTTGTCGCCCGAGGTAGCGCGCAGACTGGTGTACGACAGACGACCGACGCCGACGCTGCGGTTCATGCTGAAGAAGTTGATACCGCTTAGGCTGGAGTTGAGAGTCGGCTGCGACATGCGGGTCCGACGATCGGGCGAGCCGCCCGAGCGTCGATCGTACGAGATCAGGAGGGTCGGTAGATTCGGTTGCGAGTAACGGCTACGTTGACTCGCGGGTGAGTAGCTCGGTGGACAGGGAGTGGTCGAGTAGGTGCCCGAGTCCTGGGACTCGATGCTCGACTGCGACTGCGGCGGCGCCTTGACTGCGGTAATGTGCAGATTCGGATGGGATAGTCGATTTTTGCGGCCTTGATTCGGTCGCTTCAGGTGATCGATCAGATTCGGTTGGGACAATCGGACGATGCATGGGTTCGGGCGCCGGTTCAGGTACCAGAGATCCCGACGAGAGTATGGCTCGCATCAGAGGGTACCCTCCTCGCGTAGGCGCCGCATGAAGACCGGTCGCACGTCCTCAAAGAATGATGGCAGGTCGAGCTCGGCGGCGCGCGCGATACCGCCGTCCTTGCACTCCAACCAGTATGTATCCATGAGGCCCTTACCCTACGAGACCGGGAAATTAAATCTCATGCCGGAGAGAAGAACGGAAGATCGATCGAAAATTATCAATTGTGATGAGAAAATAAATTATTGATTAATGAAAAATTTTCCTGTCCGCGCTTTAGTGTCGTTTTTACGACGCGATATGTGGATAATAAAATAAGGAAAGAAACTTATATCGATCGATCGAAGATAAATTTATATAATATATGTGTATA